TTTTTTCCTGTCGCTAGTATTTAATCTTTTGGTTTAAATCGCAGTGCTGCATATCTGCCGCACATTAAACTAAATCACCTCAAAGACTGAAGTAAACTTATTTTTAAAACTAAACATAATAATTTATACAATTTTAATGGGACTCTTGAACTCCTTTGGGATATATTGAAGCTAAAATGTAATTTTGCTCAGCTTCTTTAATTTAAATCGATATGTTATCATTGTAATTTTATCGATTTATTCAATTAAATTTAAATTTCAGAAATGTATAGTTTTAGCTGAAAATATTTGATTTCGCTTTATTTTTTGTTTATCAATTTTCAGCTTATTTTTCTTGAACTAAATTCGTTAATAAATGCAACGAAAATCCTTCGAAATTTAATCAATTTTGAAAAATAACCTACAGCAACTTACAAGAATTTTACTTAAGCTTGTGCTCAACTTATGCCCAGATAAGATTTATTTAATTTATTGTTTGGCCTGAACGAGCCCCAACGACTTGCACGTAATGCGAGCAGCAGGAAAAACAACAACAACAATAAGAACAAGGAGCACAACCTGCAGTATAATGTTAACTCGGCTAGTTCATGGACAGTTTGATTTTCATTACCCAAAACGACGACTTCACATCGATGAACTGCATCAGCAGAGGCAGAACAAGAGCAGCAGCAAACACAAAGCTTAGGACAGGCGACAGGAGACAGTAGACAGGACACAGCACAGGACAAAATGCAGTGATGGGTTATTTTTTGTGTCCAATAAGAGGTTAGTCCAGTGAGAGGTTAGTCTAGAGAATAGCCCTAGAGCACACACTTGGGCAACTGTGAGTCAAGCTGAGAGCTGGCGCTGGCGCTGGTTCAGTTGCGACTCGTCATCATCAGCACCAAACATCAACATCAGCATCAGCATCATTATCATCATCATGGACGCGCTGGAGGCAGGCAGCATCATCATCAATGGGTATTCGGTGGCTGGCAAGTTGTTCAGTCGCTTTGGCCAAGAAAGCCAGCGAAGCAAATTGTTTTTAATTAAAAGTAAACAATATCAATTCATTCGACAGTTATCCAGCTATGCTGCTGACAAGGCTGCACCAGCTCTTGCTCCAGCTTCAGCTTCAGCTGCTACTCTTCTCTCTCTCCCCTTCTCTCTCTCTTTTTGTCTCTAAGCTCGCAGTGGCTGCATTGTTTGCCAGGGATTAAGAGAAAAAACAGACTGGCTGAGGGCGTGACTGCTCTGGAACTTTGACGTGACCTGTCCATTTATATTGTATATATCATGTATATATATATAAATATCTATACTTAACGGCGTGGCAAACATTTCCATTAATTTTTCTCTGACCATTATTAATTGTCTAAGTTGCAGTTGACGGTCGCGCGTTGCCGTTTAATGTTGCAGCTAACGGTATTATTTTCCCCTCTGCCTGGCTTTCCACTTGCCATAAAGTTTTCTTTTGCAACTGGTTTTCCTGTTTTAATCAAACTGTGTTTTTTTCCATTCAGCTTGTTTTATTTTGTTGCTTAACTTTGTTGCACTTTTAATTGGTCTGCAAATATCTAAAGTTTGTTTTATGATTTTTATTTTTTATTTCAATTTTTTTTTTTTTTTTCTGTCTGCGATTTTTGATGATGCGCTGAAAACTTGCCAGTTTTCGCCAGGGAATGTCTATTAATTTCTGTCTGCCGGGCAAGTATTTTCTCTAATTTTATGAGAATACGAATATATAAAATTATATGGCTGTGAGTTTTTTTTTCACGGATAACTTTTTTTCATGGGGTTAAGCGCAGCATTCCTTAAATTCCCCTTTTTATTAATACCACATTATAAAAAAGTACAAAAATAATAATGGAATAAGAATGAATTTGTTGCGGGCTGCAAAAGTTTCAGTTGATAGAAAATATGCAGCTTATTTCCATACTTGACAGCGATGCATTCATACCTAGACTCAATTTTTAGTTGATTGTTGCTATTGGAACTTTTCTATATACAAGTAGTTTCTTGCTTAGGTCGAGGTCGAGAGGACAAAACAAATCGAGCCCCTAACTAATTAATTTCTCCATTTATTAACCGATTCTATCTAATTCGACAAGTTGACAAGTTTTATAAATAAATCTTTTGAATTATAACCCAACAAAAGATATTGATCAAAAATATATGTAATTATTGAGTTTGAAAATCTGCTCCGATAGTTATGTGCTATTCGTTTATTAATAACTAGCGGGTATAACCCGGCCTTGCCCGTGGCACGTATGTTATAAAATCAATGTTCCCAAACAAATTTGAAATGATTTTGAAACTGATCGGACGGTAAACAAATAACTTTCATACAAACGTTTTCCGCCAATTTACCACTGTTGCGAGTGGAATTTCCCAAATCGCTGAAATACGTATTTATTAAGTTCTTATGTAGAGCTTTGAAAATAAGTTTGAAGCAAATCGGACACAACTTAAAACTTCGCCCAAAAAATCTTTAAATCGCATTCCCCCCGAAGAAGTTTGAATTCTGCGAAAAGTGTAAAACACGTCTCAAATGATTTTTCTTATAGATCTTTGGAAACGAATTTGAGCGCGAAACGTCACCCACCAAATCTTTGACCTCCATTTCCACCAAGGAGGAACGGATTTTTCGTAAAGTGTGAAACACCCCTTCAAATGAATTTGAACAAACATCTTTTAAAATAAGTTTGGGGCCGATCGGACGGTAAACAAATAACTTTCATATAAACGTTTTCCGCCAATTTACCACTGTTGCGAGTGGAATTTCCCAAATCGCTGAAATACGTATTTATTAAGTTCTTATGTAGAGCTTTGAAAATAAGTTTGAAGCAAATCGGACACGACTTAAAACTTCGCCCAAAAAATCTTTAAATCGCATTCCCCCCGAAGAAGTTTGAATTCTGCGAAAAGTGTGAAACACGTATCAAATGATTTTTCTTATAGATCTCTAGAAATGAATTTGAGCGCGAAACGTCACCCACCAAATTTTTGACCTCCATTTGCACCAAGGAGGGATGCATTTTCCTAAAAGTGTGAAACACCCCTCAAATGAATTTGAACAAAGATCTTTGAAAATAAGTTTGAGCCCGATCGGATGGTAAACAAAAAAGTTACATACAAACGTTTTTCGCGATTTTTCCACACTTGCGGGTGGAATTTTCCCGAAACCCCGTCTTAACGTGCACCTACATCACATAAGGTAGCTACAGTGAAAATTTCAGCTTCCTAGCTCTTACGGTTTGGGCTGTGCGTTGATCACCAATCAGTCAGTCAGTCAGTCAGTCAGTCAGTCAGTCAGTCAGTCAGGACAAACAGTTTTATATATAGAGATTCTTTTCAGGAAAACTCTTGTTAATAAATTTAATAAAACATGCATAAGCATATATAATTAAACAAGAGGCTCTAGTCGAAAGTTCATTACTAGGGATTACCCAGAAATCTCTTCTACCAACACCAAATGCAGCTCGCAGACAATAATTGCCAAATGTAATTCAATTTCTGATTCTCTGCATGGCTATATAGCAGAGTATCTGTTAGTATGGCATGCTCCCTGGCTGTCTATATAAATTGAATTGAAATTTCACACAGATACACAACAATCGGACAATAATTAGCAAATATAATTCAAATGCAGATGACCTGCATGGAAAAATAGCAGAGTATCTGCAAGTCTAGAATGCTCACTGGCTATCTATATAAATTTAAAAGGTATTTCTCACAAATTCACATCTACTTCACATCTAAAAACACTCTTGACGAGGCGAGTTAAATTACTCCCAACAAAAAGGCACAAAACCCATATACAGCTCTTATAATATTCCACATACGCACCGTATGCAAAAGTACGCATGCTGTAGGCAGTGACTAGAAGGAGTGGGTGGTGCGGGGAGGAGCGGGCGAGTGGCCCTCATCATCATTATGAATTTTCGGGTGTTGCTCTCTCTCGCTCTCTCTGTCCCTCGCCCTGCCTCTCTTCTTTCTCTCTCACTTCTCTTTGGGCTGGTCTGCTCTTGTGTTTGTTGAAAGGAAATACATACGTGCGCATTCATTTCATTTCCGTTTTGTGTCGCAATGTGGGCCAGGGACGTGGCGACGAGGGGGCGGAGGGGGCGTTGCCATGACTATGTCTCGACTCTAACTGCCAGGGCCCGAGCGGTGTGTGTGTGAGTGTGTATTTGTGTGTGTCCAACTATTTATTTTTATGACATAGTTGCGATTGCCTCTGCCCCGCTGTCAGTCCCTCTGCAGGCCCCCCCTCTGTCTACTTCATGTGAATATTGCCATCTAAATATGTGAAAATTGCTCATTTGAAATGTGACCAGAGCAATATACGGGGTTGGTGCGCTTTTCCGGGGGCGGAATGTCTAGGCAAATTGCCTGTCAAAAATTTTGTAGCCAATTTGTTTTTGTTTCGCCTTCTTTTTTTTTCTTCCCTTTTTCCGATGCTTATCGAAAGTGCTTGACGCAATTGTTGTAATAAATACAATACAATATTTTTAAATTTTACGTAAATAAAATTTAAATACAATTTTATATGTGTATATATGTTATATATATGCAGGACAAGCCTGTGATAAGGGCTTTGTATTGGCGATTTCCAGTTGAATGTTTGGAATTGTGAGAGGAAATATCGGAGCCTTTTGAGTGTGGGAGAAGCTAATTTTTTATACGTGGACTATTTGTTGTAAGTTGCAACGAATATGTATAAAGATATTTGCAATAACAAATAGAAATAAAAATTGCACTTCAATTTTGTAAAATAATGCAAGAAAGTGCCTGAAGAAAACTAATTGATTATTCTTTTGGGACTAAATATAACATAAGAGCAAGTTTTAACAAATTAGAATTATTATAGAATTGTCTTGACATCGAATGATCAATAGATTTAATATTGGAAGTGTAAAAGAGAAATGTTCATACTGTTAAAATCAAACAGAATATGATGATTCTAATTTTATAGAATTATTAATAATCTTTTATTTTGAATTTTCGAAAGTTCTACTCATATCAGATGGATATTGCTGAAAATCAAAGAATTTAAAAGGAAATAAGTCCAATTTTCGACTGCATGTCAAATTTACAGCTTCGTTGTGCATTTCGAATGCATTTCCCTAGCGTAGTATTCAGTTGTAAAGGAGGGCGTAAAGTAGTTGGGATTCACGTCAAGATCCTTGAGGCTATTGCGTACCCATTTTTGCATTTGAAGCACATTCGCATAGACGCCAGGCACATCTTCCGTGTGACAGCCCAAGCCCCAGGACACAATGCCCAGTTGGAAGTAATGATTGGGATGATCGTGCAGGGGACAGAAGAGCGGCGAGCCGCCATCTCCGGTGCACGCATCCAGGTCCCTCTCCCCGCCGGCACAGATGAAGGTCTCGTGCAGCTCAAAGTGTCTGCCCAGACGCGTCGAGCGTAGCCTCTGCTGGCACTCGGTACGGTTAACAATGGGCAGATCCACCTTTCGCAGCACATTGCGGATATTTGGGTCATCTGGGTCAAAGCTGGGCTGGCCCCAGCCCGCCACGAAGCAGCGTTGGAAGTTGAGAAACTCATGCGATCGAGGCAAGCAAATGGGCATTATGTGATGTGTCAGCTCCAGAGGTGTTCCCAAGATCAGCAGCGCAATGTCGTATATCGCGGTGGCCCCGTTGAACTGCTCGTGGCAAATCGTTTCCCGAACCAAGCAATTCTTATGCTGGAGCGGCTCAATCTCAGAGTGAATGTCCCATTCGCCTGCTCGTACCAGCAGATCCTGAGTGCGGCGAGTGTAGACGATGTGGGCGGCGGTCAGGACCACATTTGGTGCCAAAATCGAACCGCCTCCAATAAACTTTTGCTCTGTGCTGGCATTTACAAATATGGCTACCACCCAGGGAAATTCGGAAATATCCGTTTCCTGATCCTTGCCCTTGGCCATTGGCATGGGTATGGGCATACCCTCGATATTGTGTACGCCGCATGCAAATTTGGAATTTGGCGCTGGGGCTGGCACTTGCTGTGGCAGGTTTTATTTGCAAATAACAACAACAAAAATACTAAAAAAAGAAAGTTGCAACTTTTACTTACAATATTCTCCAGCTTGCAGCATACTTGAAGATTATTTGGACAAGGATTAACTACGCTCGCTCGAAAATCGATTTGGGCCCTGGCGTATATATTAACGGTTTCCTTAATGCAGTACGATCGGAAAATGCATCTACTCTCAGGGCCACAGGATGACCGCTGAGCTGCTAAAACGATAATAAATTTATATATTTGTAGCTATAAATAAAAAGCAATTAATATGTATTTGTGTTTGTATGTATGTGTACCCGCATTTTCGTTCGTTTGCAAAAACAAAAGAAATATTAAGCTCCACACTCTCCACATTTCGGTTTTTATCTGTCTAATCCTCTCTCTTTCTCTCTCGCTTTCTTGTGTTCGAGTTCACAACTAGCGATAACGCACTACAGCTAACAGCACATGCGTTCGCAAATTCAGCTGAAGGTGGACTGCCGCTCGCTTGATGTGCGTTGTTTGAGTGTAGGCTAAATAAAAGTACGGCAAGCCTGCAATGGACTGGTGTCCGTTAAAGCTCAGCTAACACACAGCTAGCTCATTGCCGAAATTTGTTCAGTTTATGTCGCGCCAACAACAACAACAGCAGCATAATTTTATTAAGAGAGTGTGAAAGCAGAGAGCGTAAACTTAAAGAATATAAGAGTGAAGAGCACCACTAGGCTAGGCAAGCCAAAGCCTGCTCAGCTCAGCTATTTGTGCCATATTGAAAGAGCTTTGCTTCTGTCGCCGCAATTAAATAGCAATTATAAAGTTGCACTCCTTTTAATTGCTATTTAATTGAGGAGGATTCAAGCAAAAATGGTTTAGTAGCAGCCTACAAATATGCTTATTTATGTATGTGTTTATTAATGTTTTCTACCTGCATTTTAATTGTTGCTGCCGCAAATGCCACTAAGTATAAGGTTCCAACTTCTGCTTCAAATACTTCCAAGCCGCAGTAATATTTCGCTTTCTTTGTTGTTGTTGTCTCAGTTTGGTTAATGCGTCACACAAAATCGAATATCCGATCGAGTATGTGTGTGTGTGTGTGCAATGCATAAAAGCAGAGAGCTGAGCTGCATCTATTTACTCTCAAATTTTTGATTGCAATCAATTCGCTTCTTTCTATGTTGTTCGTGCTTAGCATAAAAGAGCATAACAGGGCAGCTGGGCTGAGCGGTTTAAATACTTTTTTGGCGAACTTTAAGCTTTTATTTCCATGCAATATTTATCAGTTAAGCTTATCTCATCGCTTTGTTGTGCCTTCATTATTCTGAAAACAAATATAAATAAAAACACAAGATTAAGCTAAAAATTCCGGGAATTATTTAAGTGCTCATGCTTTGCCCTTCGGGAATTTCAAAGAAAACATAAATTATTAATTTGCTAAACAAAACTTGATTGCTTGTGGATGCATAAATGACACATATGTATTTTAAAAATACTGATAATTAAAGAGAGAAAGAATAATATGAAATATCTCTTTGAGCAGAAGAGCGGAGATCCGTCATCATTAACAGTGCTGGACTCCCTATCCTGCACATTAGAGAATCGTGCAGCTCACAATTTGACTTCGCATGATTCACAATGGCCAAATCTACTTTTAGCAACAGTTTGTTATTCTTTAGGTGTTCTCAGAGCTAGTCTGGCCCTAGCGGGAAAGCAGCGTTGCAGTTGAAAGAGTTCACGCTCCTGGGGCACACTGATGGGTATTATATGATGGGTAAATGTTGGGGGATATTTCAGTATCAGTAGCGCGACTTTGTATCTGCCATTGCCCCTATCAAAGTGCTCATGGCAAAGCGTCTCATTTACATAGGTGTCCATATGAGCATAGGGTTCCTGCAGCGTCTGCATAACCCATTCGCCGGCGCGCACCAACAATTCCTGAGTCCGGCAGTCGCCAACGCCGTGGGCAGCTGTGAGCACCACATGGGGCGCCAGTATGGAACCATCTGTGATAAATCCCTCTAGTAGTTGTATTTCCCATCGCAAAATACGAATATAGAGCCACCATCCCGGGAAATACGACACAGCTTGAGTACATCAACTACTTCGATCACTTTGGCACACACATTGATTTTGTGTTTTATTTTTATATTTATATACATATATTTAAGAAAGTTCTTGGTACTTACTATATACTCGTTCCTGCAGCATTTTTGTAGATAATGTGCACAGTGAGTTTTTGATCTCCTACACATAATGATTCCCTCGCCATATCTTTCATTATTTTTATGCCAAATGGAAATGTATGTATGTGTGTGAGTAATCAAACAAATGCCAGATCTGCATTTAGAACATCCTGAGAATAGAATAGAAATTAGAAGAAATTAGTATTGAAAGCATTTGTACCCATTGCATAAGGATAAACGGGATACTTCTTTCGTATTTGTATTTTGATTCCAACAAATTTATATATTCTGGATCAGCCAATCTAGTCTTGAACTGTCCTCAATAAATTTGATGAAATACTATAGTTCGATTCAGAGTGATACCCTGTACCCTGTATCCTCCATTTTGGAACTTGTTCTTATATTCTGTAGTATCAAATAAGCTGAGTAGCTGAGCAATCTAAGTTTAAAGTGCAAAATTCTATACATGTCTGAACTGTACATATGTTATTTTCTGGGAATTTTATAATTTATATTAATGCTGTTAAGACGTCTGATTAGAATTGTTTTGGCGTCTCAGCTGAATAATAAGCAATAATTATAATAAATGAATACCAAATCGTTTTCAGCTTAAATCCCTTGCGCTCTCGCAAACAAAGCCTAGGGTATTATTGTTGTGCGCCGCAAATTTAAAATCCCTTTATATACATATGTGAATTTGTGCGCTGTTTTCTATAGTTTGCAGCCCCGGAAACTTTTGCCTCTATTTATATGCCACAACTTTGTACGCATTAGCACAGCTCTGGAAAATAATGCCGCAAAATGTATAGAAAATTTGTTTACATCTGGGAAAAGCAACTAATGAGCGCGTTGCGCAGCAAAAATTATCAATTCAATTGCCAAATGATGATAAATGGGCGTAAATAATGAAAACTTTTAAGCACGGCCTTTAAAGAGCTCGCTCTATGTGAGTGAGTGCCGGGAAATTGTCCCAGAACAAAGCTGTTGTTAACTTTGCTGCCTATCGCGCTTTTCCATTTTCTATTCTCTACTTCTTTTATGCTCAACAGCAAAACAATTTCTTGCTTTCAATGCGCTCACAATGGGCATTATGGACTATGGAAGGGAACTTGTGCAATATGTAAAAGAGCGACAAATCGATAGCGACTATCGATTGTTATCGATAGCTGGTATGTATAAAGAAATATTTATATAAAGAGCAATTTTACATATGAAATGCAATAGTACGATATCACGCTATCGATAGCTAATATATAATCGATTATAGCCACAGTCGATAAATTCTTACCTCTAAAATTCCGGCAGAAAACGCCAGATTCAAAATTGATTATTAGAATAAATATATTTTTTTGTATTATTATCGATACAAACGTTAGCGCTATCTATAGTTTTTGTGTCACTCGAGCAATGAAAAATCATTGAAAATGTTATCGATATAATATTAAAATCAAAAGCGTCTCGAATATATGTCAGCTCTAGCTAAAAATCTATCAAGAGTTTTCCTAGAGTATGGAGAATTCGTATTGCAATAGAAACATTCCAACATATAGTTATTTTGTTGTAGTTGTCTACAACCTGCTTTGTATGCAGCGTCTGCTATCAGTTGTTGGATTTCAAAAGACGAGTGCACTTTTGTGCCTCAACAAGCCCAAAAGTAACACTGGAGTCTTCTCCTCGCCCCCCTCCTTGGCCCTGCGCCGTACACCTGGGTATTATCATCAGGAGAGCAAAAGGCTGTTTAAAAACGAAAAAATATATTCGTATGGGGAGTGCCTCGAGTGTATATCAAACATGAATTTGTGTGCGCCAGTTTAGTTTGGCTTAGCTTTAAGAGCGGGGAGCAGGCGACGCCTTCTGGAACAACTTGTCGCTGGCCTGACATTATGACAGAGACTCGGATACTTGCGGGTCGCCGGGAACGCCTAGCTGACTTCCTGAACATGGCCAGATGACTTGTATGTGCCTGCCTATCTGCCTATCTGCCTGCCTGCCTGCTGCAGCGCTTCAATCCATTGTCTTGTAGACCCGTACACGTTGTCATTGGCATACTCCGCCGAATGGCAACATCAACGTACAACTTGCCGCACCAGCTGACAGCAGCGAAAGAGAAAGCCAGAGAGAGAGAACGAGAGAGAGTGAGAGAGAGAGAGAGAGCGAGGGAGGGGAAGGCAGAAAATGAGAGAAAGGCGATGTCCAGGCGCAAAAGATATGTATAGATAGATATACCGTGGCCTGACGTGGCCTGACGTGGCCAGCCCTTCGGATCAAACCGGCAACGTGCCACTTGTTAACGCACAATGGAGTCTTTTACAACACTGATTGATGCACCAGCAAGGACATTGAAAGGATGTTTGCAGCTTTGGGACAGCTTATAGATGGGCCAGGAATAAGGCCTGTGCTGTTGCCTCTAGTTCGAATACTCGAAACCAATTTCGCAAATGAGTGGATTCAATTCAGCTCTTGATAATATGGAAAACAAAGTAAGTTACATAATTTTAAGATATTTTTAAAGACATTTGCAACACTACTTTTTCTATTTAAGGAAATTAATAGGTTGGCTTTGCTCCTTCCTCTGTTGGACTACCTCTAATAATGGCTGGTAAAAAATATAACTGAATTAAAAAAAAGAAATATACTTTATCTATCTCCCAAAGCAACAAGTTATCCAGGAAACTCAGCTCATATAACTCCTTATATTATCACAGTTAAATATTCCTCCAAGCTAATCTTTCATATATTCAACTTTTTTCACACTTGCCGTGTAAGGTAAGAAGTCTTGTTAATATGATTAAACATTTACTACATACATGAATGCCTGCTCGTCAATATTTATTGCTATATTTTATATTGTTTTCCAACACAGTTTTTTTTTTCAGTTTCAACAATGTAACATCATATTTCCTTCACTTTCGCTTTTGACTCTACATTTGCCCCTCTATTCTATTTGTCCCTCTATTCTATTTGCCCCTCTATTATATTTGCCCCTCTATTCTATTTGTCCCTCCCTCTCGTGCGACCTTCACAACTAGGCGTCAGTTTACAACACTTTTGGGTCGCACTTTTTGGCAAATGTTTACTAAATATTGACAGAGCTATTATGCAGCTTGTACAAATTAATAGCAATAGCTGGGTAAACAACACTCACACACGTGCACGTGCAAAACGCACATGAAAACACTCACATTCATTCGCACACACTCACACACACTCACATACACACACACACACACACATTCACACATTGGGGAAATGCCTTTCAGTTCTAGCAAAATCTCTTGAATGCTGTTTGCATGTTTGTACGTGTCTTTGTTGGCAAATTAACACACACACACACACAAATTGACACTCATATACACACACATTTATAGACACATCCATGAGTCCTATATAAACATATACACAGGTAAAGCAAACAAAAAGCGTTGCCTACCTTTGCGGGCGGCGTATTTATTTACGCTTTTGAGCGCTTTACAACACGTAGTCCGAGAGGCGCTTCCCTGCGGTTGCCCCGCCCATAAAACATATATTTTCTTTTGCCATGGAAATACATACACATTGAGAATTGTATGAAAAAAATTTAGGATATATTGAAGTTGTGCAAATGTTTTAAATAGAAGCTAGGCACTTTTAAAAGGTTTAAGCAAATAAATTATCGATAGCTTGCCTGCTTGCACCTTAAATCGATTAAAATCGATCACCACGGGCAGATAAAATTTTTGATAACTTTCTTATTTGCCCCTGAAATCAATTATTATCGACTTTCAGACAAGTAAATAAATAACAAATGATCGGACGTTTTTCTCCTCGCCAAAAAAATCGATAAATATCGATATGCGTAGATGTTCTTCCTGGCGTTCAATTACGTGTTCAGTTTTTAAATAAAATTCTCCTGATTTTCCTTCACTTTGCACTCTCTGGCCTACAATTAGTTTATGCTGTCAGATTTATGTGTTGCACTTTTGCCAACATTTCTCGCTAATTAGACACATTTTTAAGGCAGCTTTAAACTTGGCTGCAATCCTTTCACTTTTCTGCAGTGGCTCTTTTTTTTTGTGTGCTTCTTCTATGGCATGGCTAACATAACCTTAAAAAATAATCTGGCACCTGGCAGGCGTCAGTTAATTAAGCGCGCTGAAAAGATGCCCGGCTAATGGAAAGGGTGTCGCTCGGCCGGGTCAGGCGGGGGGCTGAAGTTAGTTGACGCTGAAATTTTTGCCGGCTGCCGGCAGCCTGCTAATGAAGTTACCACAAAGTGAAAGGCGTCCAGACTACGTACCAGGCGTTAATTAATTAGCGCATTTTTTTTGGTTCATCTATTTTTTCTATTTTTCTTTTATCCCATTTTGAGCGCAAGTTTATTTAACGTTGGTCACTGGCTAATGAGCCGAGTGAATGAAAAGTGGGTCAGAAATTTGAGTCCCTTAGATAATACATATGGCCTATGGAATATAAATGTATATATATGATTAGCAAGTATTACCCGGTGTTGCCCGGCCAATGATTTGATCTCTTATACTTCAAAAAGAAAACCTTAAAAGAATGTTTTTCACGGAAGGAATTTGATAGTGATTTATATTTTTTAAAATTTATTGCCTTTTATATTAATTCAATATATATATTTTTTTAATTATCATTCAGTCAATCAGTAAGTAAACATACTTTTATTTGATCGAGTCGTGGCTTTAATTTCACATTTGGCATAAAAAAACACCAGCTGGCAATTAAATTGTGCCAAAGAAGTTTTCCGCAAATATTTTGATTTATCTGCTGGCAAATATGATACAACTTTTTACCTGTTACCCAAATCAATAGCTGACTCGCAGTGGAAATGTTAATTTTTGCAATTTACATGCAATGCAAATTATTGTAAAATGAAATATATATAAATTAAAAAAAAAAAAAGGCAACAGAAAACATGAGCTAAACAATAAACTTTTGACAGCGACTGTGCGCAGTGTTTTTGGCTTTCCAGGCACACCTGTTACAACAACAGCAACAATAACACGGAATAATACAACACCTTGGCGAAAGTTTTTTGTTTTTTTGTGGCCATTTTTATTGTTGTTGTGCCTGCAGTTGGTGTTGAGTTTTGTTTGCTTGTCAATGCAAAACAGCAGCAGCAGCAGCAGCAGCAGCAGCAGCAGCAACAACAGCAACAACAGAGGCAGCA